AGCGCTGGGTGCGGTGCTGCTGGGCCCGCCTGCCGCCCCGAGCCTCCGGAGCGGCCCCCTGGGCTGCAGCAGAGTCACCCTTCTGTCTCCTCTGCTGAGCGCCGTGATACGTGGCTGTCGCGTGGAGCTTGTACCAAAACTTGGCTACTTACAGCCTGCTTTGTGAGTGGTGTTACCAAGTTCAGTGAAGCCTTGCTAGACTTGTCAAAAACTACTCGCATTTCAGTTCTACAACAAGGCAGCTATGAATGTGGCAAGAGTAGGTCAATAGTTCTGTATTGCCAGTATCCTGCAATAAAATAATCCTAGCTGAACCACGTTCAGGCAGCTTGTGCCTGAGACTGTATTTTACCTGCTGAGGTAAGACAGCTGCTTCAGACCGTGATGCCCCTCAGCACTGCAGAAGGCAGCTCTCTGTATGGTGAGGGATAGTTGGGGATTTTGCATCCTGGAGGGCAAGTTAGACTAATACTGTGTATTCTGTGGAGCCCTCTCAAATTAGGTAACTCAATAATCCAAATCTGTTCTGGGTCAGCTGCAGTATCACAGAAAATGGACACCAAAGTGGTAGAAGTAATTGTAGGCACATTTCTGTGCTACAGTTGCTGCTGATGGTGCTCACTGTTCAATTACTAACTAGCATCTCCTCTAAAACAAAGTTCAGATCTTTAGCTGGGAAGGCATTGGAAAGTCAGACTAACTGCTCCAAGAGAAACTGTTAGTTCCATTCATGCCAGTTGTATAGTTCATCAGCTCAAAACGTACAAGTTTATATTCTTATTTGGGAACTGCTTACAAACCTGTAGGTTGAGGAATGAAGAACAGCTTTGGTAGAAGTTTTTCCTGAGCTAGTCTTTGTGTGCCCATAACTGAACTAGGAGAGTTCAGGCTCTCCTGAACCTCATCTGAACCTTGTTAATCTTTTAAATTATCTCCTCATTTACATACTTCCTGTTACTTAGGAGAGTGACAGTGGTTCATGCTGAGATATTCTGAATTTGAAACTGAAGAATTTTTCTTCTTTAAGGACTGCAGAGTTGCTTTGTCTTCTGTGGAAAGTTTAAATGGCCTTTCAGGTCCTGGCTCCTTTGACTTAACACTAGTGACAACCAGTGGCTTTGACTGTGCAGAGTAAGGGTATAATATAGACAGGAAGTTGAGGAGGGGCTTTTGCGTGCTCTTGTCTGTGAACTAATAATATTTAAAGGAACTGAAAAATGTGTTATTATGTTACTTGCAAGGGAAGGCCTTACCTGAAATCTTAAGGTCAGGGAATTTAGAGAAAAATAAAATACTTTGTATCAACATCCCTTAAGAAAACCAGTTTCTTTTGTATGTACCTGAATGGTTTCTGTAAAGGAGAGGGCTTTGGCCATGTGTACAGAGTCACTGTTGGTTTTTTGTTTTCATTGAGACTGGTTGTGTCTTTGTGCCTATGGATAAGCAATTCATCTAGAAAGAAATGCTATAAAAATAATAGGCTACTTTTTGAAATTTTGGGGAGGGCACGGGCAGCTTTACTGCAGTACAGCAAGGACCATACACCTTTTTATCTACACCGGCACCGAGTGAGTTTAGTTAAATGATTACAAACCCAAAACAAACACTTTACATCAGCTATAAATTTAACACAGTAACTTAGAAAACCAACCAGTATAAGCTTGGCTTAAAAGTCTGCATGGTAAGCAGGTTTGAATAACGACTCTCTGTTTTCTTGTCTTCCCTAGGAAGTGATAGAGCTAACCAAAGACCTGCTGTCGACGCAGCCCTCGGAGGCGCTGGCCAGCTCGGACAGCTCGGCGGCGGCGCTGCCCAGCCACGCCTGGAAGGTGGGGGACAGGTGCATGGCCGTGTGGAGTGAGGACGGACAGTAAGTGCAGAAAGCTTCTCTAACAGTTACGTGAAATAGTCCCATGGTAAGAGACTTTCATTCAGTTTGAACGGCCCCTGGGGTGACTAGAAGCAAAAAGAAATTAGGAAATAGCTGCAATATTAGCTATGATTGCACTCTCCTTATTAAAGGTCAGTATTTTAGATAAAAAGCAAAGGGATGGGGGTCATGTTCTGGAAGTGCCCTGTTAAGGTAATAAACGGCAGACTTTTGGCAACCGATCTGTCAGAGCAGCCTTTTGTACAGGCTCTGGGATGTGTAATTCACTGCATTCATGTATATGTTATTGACTGCTATCAGGAGAAATCCTTGCTGTACCTCAGACTGTGCCTCTACATGGAAATGCTGGGCTTGGCTATGAAATGAGCCATGTAATGTAGCTACAGATTTCATTCACCTTTTGGGTTCAGTCTGCATTACTTTAGGCTGTGAAGTTCTGGGAACCCAAGCAGTTAATTCTGACGTCCTAAACTTTGAAATAAACATCCTAAAATTACTTTCCATACTGCAAAATGTATATCTGTTGCAGGTTTTTAAAAATTACTCTTTATCCAGAACCACTATCCCAGCTGTTACCTTTGAGAGAGAAGCTCTGCTGCTCAACAGATAGGGTTCTCTTAACAGTGTGGTAGCCACACAGAGGTTTTGGTGCAGCTGTTGAGGTCTCGGGTAGAAGACAAACCTAAAACTGAACGGTTTGCTGCCACAGATTATTATTATTAATGTGTAAAATGCTTTTGTGTAAGAGCTTAAAAATTGAATCTTACTGTCTTAGATCACCATTGGGTCATTCTTGCTCTGATCCCTGGGTTAGAGGATCAGAAAACTAAAAACACACAAGAAATTGATTTAGTAAATGTTAACTGGAATATTGTCTATGAAATATTGTCTGTGAAACATTTCATCTTCTTCCTCTATTTGCTTTAGCTCTCACTCGTGGTTTTTTCCTCTTTCCCATTGTGAGGTCAGTTTGACCAAATTGTTTTGTATGCATAAACATTACATGGACTCTTTTCTGCTAAAATTTAAAACTTGCTATTCTAAATAAGAAAACTTAATTTTGTATGTGTTGTGGAAGGAGTATTTTGAAAGGTTCACTTTTTCTTAATTCTTTTTCATATAGAGAAAAATGGAATAAAGTTTTCCTTTTGTGAGCTGACATTTGCCAAAACTCCTCAGTGAGTTCCTTGAAAGCTTTGTTCTGTGAACACTTTGTTGGGTCTTTTTTTTTTTTTTTTTTCAATCCCATGACCTGTCAGAACCAAATGAAGATACCTGATGAGCCTGGCCCCAGCATTAATCATTAGTCTTGGTAACTGTGAGGCCATTGCTCCCTGATGCCAAAGGTCAAACACGGCAGGTTCCACTCTTTGTACCTGTGTCCCTTTGACCTTAAGAAAACAGTCTCTTGGTTTGATTTGTGTATTGTCCCTTGTATTTGCAAATTTTTAACTTGATGCCATTAGCTGGCTGACAGTGTGTAGGTGTTGAAGGGCTGAGTATTAAAGCTTTACTCACATGCTTACAGCCATGATATCTTTACAGGTGTTACGAAGCTGAGATTGAAGAAATAGATGAGGAGAATGGAACAGCTGCAATCACGTTTGCTGGGTATGGCAACGCTGAAGTTACACCTCTCTTCAACCTCAAGCCTGTGGAAGAGGGAAGAAAAGCAAAAGAGGACAGTGGCAACAAACCCATGTCCAAGTAAGTAACACCCAGGCAGAAGTCTGGAAGCTGCTTTGGGTTGCGTTTTTCTTCCTCAGAGCTATAAAAATTGGTTAATGAAAGAGAATCTTTCTTTTAAAAACTATTTTACATCTCTTTGGTATCTTCACATGGTTGCTTGAAAAGGGATCTTAAATCAATCTATCATGTAACATTTGGTAGATTACAGTGGCTGGTACCACGTGTGACAGGTACCCTGGGAAGATAACAGGATGGACTTTGTTTCCACTCGCATCGTGCGAGCTCAGGGCATCAAGTGCGTAAGCAGTAGATTGAAGAAAAGTTAGTGCTCGTTCACTGACAGCAGAGAGCCTACAGGTTTCAGCCCAGACCTTGTGCAGGCTGTTCTCAGAGCTGTGATTTGGATTTGGCTGCCAAGCAGTACACTCAGCAGAAGGGAGGAGTTCTGCTCTGCCCCTGTGTTGGGCTAGCTGTGCTGACCCCACCGCTGGGCAGATGCGCTTCACTCAGATCTGGCTGTGTCCAACAGAAGAGTGTTTTTAAAGGCCCAAAAACATGCCCCTGGGGACAGGGGGGCAAGGTGGTACAATGTCAGTTTGTTAGAGGCAAACGATCCCTTCCCTAAGAGATGATTCTGAGGGGTGCTGCGTTGTGGCATAGGTAACTCCTTGAACTTCCTTGCCTTTACTGAAGTAACTTACCAGGGTTCTTTAGCTCCCACCACTCTCCAGTACTCAGCAGCATGAGAGTCCTGCAGACTTCCAGAAAAGTTTGGGCTTTTCACTTGAATGGGCTAGTTAAATTTTCCAAACCCTAGAGGTTTCTGAAGTGTAGAAGTGCTGATAGGAACACTTCCAGTCTCAGAAAAGAATTGCACACAGTCCCATGGGTGGCCACATTTGGCATGGTCTTAATCTGGTGGTGGTGGTGGTGGTTGTTCTTATGCCCAAATATATAAATAATCAGTGGAATGCTTATGCAGGGAAAGGCTTGTGTTTGGTTTTTTTTCCAGAAGTGGAGAATATTTACAAGCTTTTTCTCTCTCATTGAAACTTGCCATGCATGTCTGTATTATAGTTTCTTACAGGGAAAGGCACAAACATAAAATGTCTTTTTTTCCTTCTCTCCAGAAAAGAGATGATAGCCCAGCAACGAGAGTATAAGAAGAAGAAGGCTTTGAAAAAAGCTCAGAGAATTAAAGAACTTGAGCAGGAACGAGAGGACCAGAAAGTCAAGTGGCAACAGTTTAACAACAGAGCCTATTCTAAAAACAAAAAAGGCCAGGTTGGTTTGATTTTGTCAGTATGTGAATAACAGCATAGGCTTCTGTGCAGTACTTTGGGAGAGTTTTAAAGGGATGGAATTTCAAGGGGGTTCATCCTTGGGATTCTGAAGCATGTGGTTTGGTATTTGATATGCTTACAAAGCCTTGTTTTGTACTGGGTGTTTTGGAGGAGTGCTCTTAAGAGGCCGAGCTTGCACTTAGCTTGGAGGGGTGGCTGACTGGCAGTTGCCAGGTAGTGTTTGTTGGAGCTTAGAACCTGGGGGCTTGTCTAAACCTCCCAGCCTGACTGCTTGCCATGTTTATGACCTGGCAGACACAAGGCTAAGTAACTGCCCTGGAATAAAGAGCATAGTGCAGAAAAGGTAGCAAGGACATTTTAAAGCCTTATTTCATTTTTATTGTGGCTTGACCAAGACCTGCTGGACAGTGGTAAAACCTGTCTTCCTTATGAACAATTACTAGAGATCATCTTATGAGAGAGGTGAATTTTAGTTATTGTTGGCCTGACCAGTGCTTAGGTTACAGGACTTCCCAGCTCTGCTGTCTCAGTTGCTGGTAACATCTCACAAGTGAGCCCAGCTTTAGAAAGCATGCCTGTCTATAGATTAAGAAGTTGAGGATATTGAAACACTTCAGATGGTAATGTCTGCTTGGGCTGGTTTGGTTTTTTTTTTTGTACAAGTAATTATTAGTAATAACAGTAATTGGTTTTAGTTTGTAATTATTCAGAAATGGTGTTTTGTGCTTCTTTTGCAGGTAAAGAGGAGTATTTTTGCTTCCCCCGAGAGTGTAACTGGCAAGGTTGGAGTTGGAACATGTGGAATTGCAGACAAACCTATGACACAGTATCAAGATACCTCTAAATATAATGTCAGGCATTTGATGCCTCAGTAACAGGGGAAGAAGGTGGAACTTCATCTCTGCAGGGCTTTACACTTATCTTTTTATCATTATATTTTTCTAAAAGTAAATTATTTGTTGGCACATAGCAAGTAGTCCATTTTGTCACCATCACTTTGGCTTCAGCTGATATAAGCCTTAAATTTCCTGCTATTGATTTGACCCCCCAGTCATTAAACTCTTTGTAGTTGGGATTCTCCAGAATCTTCCATTCATACTAGCAGTGAAGTTTGGTTTTTTTCCCTTAAGAAAAGTGGTGGTATAAAATGGCACTGTAGCAGCCTCCCTTGTTTCTGTAGTCACAGCGCTGTCTCGGTGACGGGCTCGGCAGTACGGAGCTGCTGCAGCTCTGGGAGAGAGACAGAGCTGGGCTCCCTTGTAGCTCATACATCACCTGGAATTGCCAAGGAGGTTCTAAATTACTCCTGCACGAGTCCACTGAAGATTGATTTGCACAGCTGTAAATGAGGGCAGAACAGGGCTGATAGGATCTTTACTACTGATGATGGTTCATGTGCTAGAAACAATAAATCTGACTTTAATTCCAGTCTGAATTTCCTGTGCTATAGGTTAAGCAGAGGAGATTGATTTTTTTTTTTTTTTTTTTTCCCCTGTTAAATAGTCATCAGATTTTCATAGGAATTTTCTGAAATGTAACCAGAAAGCCATAGGACAATTTCAAAGTAGAGAACTGTACTTAAAAATACCCCTTAAGGATCAGAATGCTGGCAAACACAAATGGTTGTGCTTCGGAAAGGAGCCACCACCTCCCCTCCTGCAGGTTCTGTAGGTTTGATGGTACAGTCCCAGACCTGAAACACCCACAACAGCTTGCATGAGCCTTCTCCATCTAGTGGAGTAGGTCTGCAGCACAGCAGATAGGAATGGCCAGACCCTACTTAGTAGTGAGCGAGTAAAGGTTAGTCTGAAGTTTGTCCTTAAATAACCGACGGGCCCTAGTGTTCATTGTAACTGCAGCTGTATCGCAGTGCTGCTGAGCCCTGCCAGTGTTTTTTTCAGGAACCCACGTGTAAAAGCTCTTGCTTTCTTGTATTTTATGTGATTTGCTTTCCTCTGTTACTTGTCTCTCACTTACAGTAGTGGTGCCATCTCTGAACCCATAATGTGTTTAAAGAAGTTAATGGGTAGCCCTGTATACAATGTAGATATTATTTTTGTAAAATCTAGGGCTGAGTTAATGGACAAGAGCACATCAGTTCTTTCTCCCACTGAATAATTAAAGGGTGTTTCTTGTCCATTAACCCTGACCATTATTTCCCTGTATATTATGTTAATGTAGCTCATTTTGTAATTTGTTAACTAGATCAGGTCACGTCAGCAATTGTTGATGCACTGATTGGTGGAAATGTCCATCAGTTACCTGAGTCACAACTCAAGCTAAACTCTACAACTGGTAGTTTAGAATCCATACATAGAAAAAGGTTCTCCCTATAATGGGAGAAGGTGATTTTTATGAATACAAAGTGTGTTAATTTCAGTTTTGTATGTTTAACTTTTATTAAATAAAGTGTTTAAAATCTGCTGGATATATTTGCCAAAGTGAAAGTATGGGGGGGGGAGTAGCAAGTACAGAATCTGCTACACAGAATGGTGTACACAAGCAGATCAAGTTGCTGCAAGATGAAGCAGATTTTGCTAAATTCCTCAGCTCTACTACTAGCAGGGAGGGTTAAATTATCTTTGGCATAGAGGAGTTCTCTAATCTGACCCCACTGCTGTTTAGAAAGGGAATTTGTACTGCAGCCTGCACCCTACAGAGACAAGGCTCCAGTGGTATTAAATAGGTGACAGTCCTGCAACATTGGTAGCTGAGGGTGGAGGAAGGTCATCTGCTCTCTCGCACAGATGCATTTTACTGAAGTTAGACCAAAACACACAGAAGGTGGCAGAAGTTTTCAGGAAGCCACAATGAGCCTTTCTGTAACTCCACCTGTTTGGGTTTTTTTAGGGAATAGAATCCCTGCCTTACCTGTACTGCATGTGCTCATCTTTTGGTGCAATAAGTGGTCCATCACAGGACTCTGTTCACTAGTCCTGATGAGAACGTGAGGCAGAGCAAGTCATGGAAACACAGTGGGTGTGGGAGCTTCCCTTACGGTAACTGACAGTTCAGCCCAAACTAAAACTAGCTGGTGTCATGGGCTTTGCATTTTTCTAAGCCTTTCCAAAAAAAAAAAAAAAAAAACACCAAAATCCTGGAAACTAGCACATCCCTTTCCTTAGAGTAACTTACTGTCACCTCTCCTACAGCATGGGCCACCTACCGACCTGAGCTAGGCACTGCGACAAAATGCTGAAAGAAAGGCTTGATGCTCTTTTTCCTTAAATGCCTTACCTGGCATAGACAGTGACACCACTGTGGCTGGGGTGGTCTGATCTATGGAGCAGAGAACATGCTGAAGACAACTTGTATAAAAAAGCCCCAAACAATCCAACTGAACTGCTGTCTTGGCCACAATGCCATCCCTTGGGGCACTTGGTACTTTTGTTTTATGCTGTTTCCTCACCTGCAGGCCGGGGCCAGTTGGTGTGTAGTCAGGCTTTGGAATGGTGCCATAGTAAAGTATCTTGAGAAATGCTCATGGAGAAAATGATGAGTTAAGCAGCGGTGGTAACCACCAGAACAAACAAACTGTTACCTATTTTACAAATGCTCTATGGCTTGAAGTCGTTGTTGGGGTTCTTAATAATAGATTTCCCAGTTTTATGAACTGCTCTAAACAATAAAACACTTGATTTGTCAGAACTCATGTTCTTCATGGACTCCTGGGCCTCTTAGCAAGCAGAGTGCTGACCCCAGCACTGGCAAATCCTCCTATAAAGCAGACAGTTCTTAGAAATACTGAAAGGACAGAGGGAAAGTTACTTAAATATAAAAGTAAAGAGTGCAAAACCACTAAGCTAGAGCCAGTATGGAAAAAAGGTGGTTGTTGCAAAACACACATCTGCTCCTTTCAGATAAGAATACTGTGTTAAATGACCAGTATGGGCTACACGTTTCCTCTTAAAAGTAAATTACTACAGGAAACGGGTTTATCCAGCACAGCCTCAATCTTGTACAAATTGTAATCTATTGTGGAAATTAAACCAGTACAAATCTGACTCCTATCTGGGACTGCTCCGTCAGTTCAAGTATTTAGAACGGTCTTAGGAGTAGCAACTTTAAACTTTCATGGTCATGGCAATCCATTTCTCATTTGCTTTCCCTTATGCCAGAGTATTGTGACACTTATTCCTGTAGATGTTTGGTCTCAGAGGTTTGTAAATACAAACAAGGACTGAAACTCAGAAGATGGCAATTCGCCTCTGGAGAGGTTTAGAAGGTGAAACCAATAGCAAACCCCTGTACTGATGTTCCACTGGCCTGACTGGGGTCCCTGGCTGTATTTTGGGAAACCACCACCCCTTGCATGTCTTGCAGCAGTTAATGCTACACCTGGGATTACAATGTTCTTGGGCCAGGCCCAGGAGAAGGATTGCTGCCTTGCAGCTGGTGCTGGGCTGCATATTGTGGTTCCTCCCATCTTCACCTTGCTGGAAGACAGCCCTGCGGCAACAGTCACGGCCTTGACAAGACCTGATGGCAGGGGTGAATTTGGCCCAAAGCTGATTGCAAATGCAGAGTGGCTTTCTGGCTCACTAGCTTTCCTTTCAGGAAGAATGACAGGTTGGATGAAGAGACGAACACTAGATCTGTCTTCTCTCAAACCACCCCTGTAAGTGTCACCACCTCGTGGAGAAGGCATGCTGGAGCTATTGCTTGGTGGAAGGCAACAGGAGATGCCAGTGTCCTCCCGCCCAACACACGCTGTCATACAGCCAGATCTGTATGATGAAACATCCTGGAAGACCTCATTGCAGAAAATCCCAATCAGGGAGCATCTCCAGAGGCGAGATCAGCATTATTGCCAGTGCTCGGAGCCACATACTCGTTTGTACTTCCAGGACATGAATGGCTTCCATGGCCCTCAAAGTGCTGGCCAGGGCCATTCCCAGCCAGCTGCCTTCCCCTGACCTGCTGAAGACCAGGGGCAGTCTTCTGCAGGGCTTTGTCTCCTCTGAGTAAATGCTGCATGAAAATAAAGCTTCAGTGCATGACTAGCACAGCAGACTACAAACCAAGATGTTGAACCGCTTGTTAAAGGCCAACCTCACCAGCTCACCCCAGCAGTGTGCTCTAGGCCTCATGGGGGTAATACAAACTAAGGGGCTGACTTTTTCCACTGTGGTAAAAATAAAATATCACCTGTAGCCCTTAGAACATGGTTAACACTGAAGATCCCTCCAAAAGAAAACAGCATCTCACAGCTTGGACCTGCAAAGCCAGGCCAGCAGCACAGTGTGACTCAATTGTTCTGCTCCATACGAGCGCCCAGCTCATGGACACATCCACCCTTCCAGAGCCTGCTCAGCAATTCCTGACCCTTGGTGTTTTTGAAGGGACCTCAACATGAGCATCCCACCTTGCGAGACAACTCCTTAGTTTTAGTTGAACACAGCAACACCCCAAACAGAAACTCCAAACAACACATTTAGCAGTACAGCCATAGTACCAATGCCCACAGGCTCCTCATTTCTGCTTCTGCCTAGGAATTAACAGGTCCTTTTTTCAGGAGGAAACGAGCAGAGAAGCAGGGGACAGCACTGAGGTCCTATCCCCAGTTAAACATCCTGCCTTTCCCTGCAGACAACCACTCTCCTCTCCTGCGTTCATACTCCCAAAAATCACTTGGATATGTTGGCCAATTGGAAGCAAATCCAACAGTGCACCAGTATTTCCTATTTTGTTCAGACTGGTGAACAGAGAGGAAGAAGGAGACAACCCTCTTCCCCAAGGGTCCCACAGGACAATCCAGAGACACTATGGTGGACACAGAGGAGGTCCAGTTGCTATCAGGTCATGAATTTATCACTCACCGGAGAATCAGTCCCTAGAACAAAGCCCCAGAAAAAAACAAAACAAAACTTTATTCTGTTATTTATAGACTTTTTCATTACTAATACTATCACCTCCCTAACCTCAGAATGAATTCCTGGGTTTTACCATTCTCTTCCAGGAAATGACCCCAGGTTTTTTTTCCAGTGATGCATGGCTGGTGTCAGAAAACGCACAACAAGAAAAGCTTATGATCCTGAGGAAAAGGGGGAAAAAGTAAAAAAGAGGAAAACCACTATGTCCATTTAGTGCACACAACAGATCCACTGAAAACAAACGCTTCATCCATTTTAACAGGGCAAAACAGAAACACAGACTGCAAACAGGGAGCAGCAAGTACAAGAGAAGAGCAGAAAAGGAGGATGGAGCTCACAGGCCAGAAACATGGTAGCAAACTAAAAAACCCCAAAAGGAAAACACAAAACCTGGAAAAGAATTCTGTATAGTTAACCCCGTTTCTATTGGCCTACAGATTTCTTGAGACAGATGGATTTGAAATCCCCTTCGCCACTGGCGTGCCTCTAATGGAATGGACATGAAAATGACCTTCAAGTGACAAGTTGCCACAGGATAACCATGACAAATGCAGGCGGATAGTCATCTCCACCTTGTCTGCAGGCACGAGGTGACACGCTGTAATACGCTTGTGCCAGAGGAAGGGAAATGCTGGATGGTCTTTTTAATGGCTTTGTCCGCCGCCAAAGGCCCCGCTGGGGCCTGATCTCCAGGGGGAGGACTCACAGACCGGGCTGAGGGAGCTGTGCCCCTGTGGGTGTGCCTAAGGAAGTACACCCAGTTCTGTTTTGCAGGAAGAGTCACCATACTCTTGTAAATTTAAGTAGAGATTAGATTTAGGGCTTATTACTCTACAAACTCAAAAATAAAGCAAACAATAAAAAAAAACCTCTCACGCAATTTTGCAAAGATGAAAGGAAAATGTGATTCCATGCCCAAATGACCATGTGGCAAGAAAAAGTGTTATTCTGGGTGAAACCAGCGTGAGTGCGGTGGGCAGAACCGAGGGCTGCAGAGGAGACCAGGAGAGAAGTGTTTCACTTCACTCTCTGCTTGCAGAGGAGCAAAACGAGGCCTCAGAAGCAGCACAGGTCCCAAGCAGTTGTGCATTAAAAAAATACCAGAGCTGGGAACCCAAACAGTGTTTATCTTTTGGGGTGAATGAAAATAACTCTTTTGTTTGATTTTAAGGGCAGAGTTCGGACACAACACAGGTTCTGCAAGCACTTTTCTGGGGCAAACCAGTAAATTTCACTTCTGTATCGAACCTCTTAAGAGTTCAGTAGCAAGAGACCACCTCAGCTTCCAAAGGGTAAGAGGCTTGACCCTCAAGGTGCATCAGCATCCCTCTGACAAGATTACAGAGTGGCCAGGAGGAATTTTGATTGTATTTGGAGAATTGGCATGACCTTAAAGCAGATCTGGCACACAGGACTACTCTGGCTTGCCACAAACAGGGATGACTGAGGAGATTCATGCATTTTTAAGCAGAATGAACTACTATGATCATCTAACTGATGTCCTGCATAACCAGATGATTTGGCCTGTACAATAATTTAAAAGTAACTTACAGCAACTTCTGTAAGAAAATTAGTAATTTTGAACATTTCAACCCAAGAGACCTGACCAGTGAGGGAGACATGAGGGGCATGACTGGCCATGCGAGGCGCAAGGACGCAGAAAAGACCAGAGTCCACAATGCAGTAACGTAGGAGAGCAGGGCAACCCAACCTCAAAAAGCCACAGGAATATAAGAAATTACCCAAGCTCTAGCTGAAGCCTGCTAAGACCTGCCATAAGGAAGCCCCCAGCACCAGAGCAACCAACTCCATGTCTTCAGCAGTTATCAAAAAGGCCCTTGATTTTGTTTTAGCCCTGGTCCTCTTCCTGGCTGGACCACTGCTGCTCGCTGAGCGGTCAGTCAGGTGGCTGGTGATGGAAGCTGATCTGCTGCTACATTTCCCCCATTATATTTGCACTTGATATCAAGACCCCTTGAAGTTCATCAGGCTAGAAAAGGTGGGAGATCCCAAACTGGCCCTGGAGCATACAAGCAAACATTTCAGACACATTCAGACACAGACTCCAACCACACACATGTCACTGTTTTGTACCAACTAGGAGAGCAAAGCCATTCCTCTTCCCTTGAACTTCAGTGTCGCTCAGCTGTGGTATTTCTTTCTCAAGTGGTCATTTAAAACAACAGGAATAACAGGAAGGAGGATGTGCTGGGACAGATACCGAAAAAGGGTCCTAAATAAATAAATCCCACTGATATTCAACTGCTTAGCACGAGGGCTGCCAATAGTCAACACTTTCAAGGAGAATAGCAATGAATAAATAAATATGCCCCTGTCAGAGATAAAGTTTCCCACCTTTCACCACTCAGAGGACTGTCCCAAACCTTGTCTTATCCAGAGATTATATGGACCCCAAACACAAATCAAAGCAGCACTTCTTTGAAAATCCTCGGGCCCCATTTGTTAACCTAGAGCTCAATCCAGTCTGCGGTGGACTCCTGCACCACTGGATTACATACACACAAGTGAAAACAGATTTAACAACAGCACCCAATACAAACTTACAAAGCAAATTAATTTAAAAAACCCAAACCAAACAGAAATCGTCCATTACAGCCACAGAAAGATTATTTCTCTACTCAAGCACGTGTGTTGTGCCTCTTGCAGGGGATGACACGTTTTGGAAGAGAGCAGGGGGAAACATCAGAATATTTAAGCACAGGCATCTTATCATAAAGCAAAAGTCTGCAGCAGACTCACTCAGGATCTTCTCATCACAGGATCTCAGGGCACAACAACAAAGAGCCAGCTAAAGTGACACGAATGATCAAGATGGAAGAACACAACTCATTTTGAATACAGAAATGTTTAATGGCGTTAAAGTGCTACTTTAATGGGGACCATATGCTAACATTTAAACACAATTCCACTGCACTGCTAAATATGGTTGTCTTTATTTTTTTATTTTATTTTACCTCTTTTTGCCCAGCCCTACCTAAAACAATAAAATAAAATCTAAAGGACTGAAATTAACAACCCATTCAAATCAGCAATAAGTTATCAATTTATAAAGCATTTCTTCCTCTTTTTTTTTTTTCTTAGTAACGAGGGGTAGTTAAATTACTTAAGGATATACAAAGTTTCAAACAATGCCATAGGTGAGGACTCTATTAAGCTTTTTAAAACTTGGAAAACAAGATGATCCTGGCCATTAAAAAGACAAAAATTAAAAAAAAAAAAAAAAAAGAAAAAGCAAAGCCCTCAAAGTGCAGGTTAGAATGCTCGTCTCCGAGAAAATTAGAAAACATTCGCTATAATAGCTCTTAACAGCACCTGCACAGATAAGATGGCAAGGCCCTTGGGAACAGGACGTGCAGTCAAAACTTTACATTAACATGAGAGACGTGCTGAGCTTAACTAGGTTAACTACTGGACTGGAACTTCAAAAGTCAGCAAAGGGAATGATTCTAAAAAGAAAACAGAAGAAACCCCCACCAAACCTGGCCTCTTCCAGCTAGCACAGCCTTCATCCATCGTGTGCACGGCAAAAAGCGTCTCTGCATTTCATCGGGTCAAGTGCTTCATCAGAACAGAGATCTTCTCATGGCATAAATTCATATAAAAGACATCGAAGGTTTCGTATGGACAAGCTCTAAAAAGACGCATCAGACTTGGGGTGTTTTCCCTCCCAACACATTTACAAATGTTTATCAAAAAATCTCTTCAAATAAAAAGGTTACAGTGGCTCAGTATCTGGGCATGACTTCCTGTCATATCACCTCTGGTGTGTGCTGGTTTCTTTCTGTCCTCAGCTGGTGGTGTGTCTGCGCGTGAGCGCGCGTCTGCCGGGAGACCTGCCGCCCGAGGCGCGACACCGCCCACCCCGTGCTGGTGGAGTACAAGGGTGTACCTCTCGCTTTAGCCACGCAGCAGAGGTACTTGCTTTTTAAATGGCGCCCAAGAAAAAGCTGAGCTGAATGGTGCTCTCTCCTGAACATCTCTCTTTGCTGCCCCTCTCTCTCTCCGGGCACAGAATGAGACCTCAATCATTACTGTCGCTGTGGTTTCGAGGCTACGTAAAAGCCTTCTTAGATCTCCTAGGACATGACAACGGCATCCAATTGTGATAAACTGTACGACACGGTCCTTTTAGGACCACAAAAGCTCTTCAGAAGGGCCTAAACTAGGTTGTTCAACCTGAATGCAATATAACAAATCCTGGCATTTCTCAAATCTCATGACGGAAAGAGAGGGGCATGAGTCTCTAGTATCCTCTTTCAAACAAATAAATTCAAAACAAAGTGTTTTGTCACTAAGGTCTAGATCCGGGTCCCACAGAAACAAGCGGATTTCACTGACTTCAAAGGGACTAGCGTTTGGTCTAACTTTTTGCCAGCAGGGATTGGGATTGGTAACATGACCAAATGAACACGTGTGGGTTTCTGTGGAGGCTTCCCTTACCCAAAAAGCTTTATATACAGGTCTCTCCAGGACTAGCTGTCAATATGTCATTTCTGAAAGAGGATACTGGCATCTAGGACCCAGTTTGATCACCCCAGTAAAATCATTCGCCCTGCACTGTTGTCTCACTTGGTTCTAGGAAGCAAACGAGAGCTTGACGCTGGCGCTGGAGTAACCCTCGTCACTCCCAATACTCTGCAAGCTGCTGTGATCATCAATGTCACTGATGCTGGTTGTGCTGATATTGTCCACTTCTCCATGGGAGAACTCTGTGCTTTCAACATCCACTTCAATCTCTTCTGAAAAGGAAAGCGAGAGAAAAGCACACAGGTTAGCACCACAGACCCAACTGCTCCCTTCAAACTAGCAAGCTGCTGGGACTCCCTCAGTCAGGGATGAGGCCGCAGGACAGCAGGAAGGCTTCCCATGTTCTCCCTGGAGCAGGATGACATGTGGACATATAAAAAGACTAGACAGCAGCTTGGAGTTTTTCTTAGGGACTTGGCAAAGGGTTTTCACTCCTCCAGCACTATCAGCATAGGTAGGCCACTCCATGCACTGAACTTGTTCCACTACCTCTTTCTTCGGAGATCTACTACCCCAGTGTTGGAAACAAACCAAAACAGAAAAAACAGAGGGCAGCAGAGAAAATGGAGCATGAAATTACTCCAAAACATGCCACTTGCTTGATATTACGTTGCCAAAGCCAGGACCACTCATACAGGGCATTATAATGCATCACCATGGCGATGCGAGTTACTCTCAGAGATGTTGAGTGGATTTCAGAATATAAATAATACTTCTAAGAAAGAATTAGAAAACAGAGATCTAGTTTACTAGGTAGCCTTGTTTCCATGTTGTTTTCCAAAGGGATTGAAGAAAAAAAGAAAAAACAAAACAAAACAAAACAAAACAAAAAAACAAACAAAAAAACCCACCAACAAACTACAGACTCACCCAAATTCAGTTAGCCACTCAGATCTCCTCTATCCAGTTTTAACTGAGGAGATGAACTCCATGGAAGCTTGGGAAATAAAAGTCAGGGGGTGTATGTGGACTGATTCTGGGCATTTTAAGAGGCAATTTGGTTGGTTCTGTTTGCTCGGGTATGCCATGGTACCTTGGTTATCCAGTGGAACAAACACAGAATGAGAAGCCGGATGCTGTTTTGCCACGTCTGTTCCAGTCCCACTAACAGCTCCTTACATTCTCCTGTGTTGCAGAGAGATTCGGCAGACCGAGGAGTACGGTGGATATCTCAGCTTTATCATTGGGTGTTTAGCTACCACCTTGTGATCACATTACACTTCCTAACTAGTGCTTTAACATTTCAGAAAGCTTTTAAAAGAAACAGGTCACTTTAACTGCTACCAAAATCTGTTCAAGTTGACAATAATAACGTTTCATCCAGACTTAACTGGAACTCAGGCAAAATACTAATCTCTTCACACACGTATATATAAATATGTGTTTTTCTGTTTGTGTATATATGTGAGCAAACCCAGTAGCCTAAATATACTGAAGGCCAGAAGAAGGGGGTGGCTGAGAGACAAGAAACGGATGAATCTCCTCTTGCCCCAGCTCCACAGAGTGCTGGGGACTCAGTGCTGGTGCAGGGACACTCACCTCGCTCCGAGTCCGAGCGATCCGAGGAAATGGTAGATCCAATGCTGTCCATTCGTATTCGCTCTATCTCCTGAGGACCCTGTAGTTGTTCCAGTCTTCTCTTTAGGAACCTTTGTTCTCGTTCCAGGTTCTCAAGCTGGTGTTGGCTTCTCCTCTCAGCCTCTTCAAGTTTCTGACATGATCACATACGAGTCAATTAGTTTCATTCTCTCCTCTTTCCCTCCCACCTGCACTGCCAAGCCACCTTCTTTACTTAGACCTTTCCAGGTCCCAGAAGGATTTAAGCTGCAAAGGAGCCCTGAACTAAGCTGACTTGCAGTCTCCAAGAACAATGCCGTCCTCCTCACACCTTTTCCACCTCTCAATTCCTAATAAATTATACAAGAGTATAAAATGTCTGAGAAAAGAGCCTCTACAGGCAAAATTATTTCAATTTTGTGGATCATTCTATGTGGGTTCAGCCACTTGTATTACCAAATCCGTCCACAAAGGGGCCTCAATCCCTTAACCAAACCGGGGTTTGTTATGATCCACTGTAACACAAAAAGGTGCCTTGGGAGTTCTGTCTTCCTTGCTGCATGGTTTAGCAGGATTTCTCAGAAACAGTTTTCTATTCAGTAAGCGATTTACATAACCTACTACAGATTTCTTTGATCACAGCTGGGAAATCTACCAGGGCACTGTTCTTTGTTTCCTACGACAAGCACGTTGCATAAGGAGGAGTCATTTCAGGCGAGCTCTGTCCCTTCGGCAGTGCTTTTTCTCCTTCGCCACCCATCCTCCCTCCCACTATCCTGACCTGCAACGAAGTATTTCAGTCTCTTCCAGATACTGACAATGCTTCATTTTCTTTTCATGCTTTGCTTTGCCAAAAGTGAATCTAGAAGAGCACTGGGCTAGCTGGCAGGTTCACACACAAAACCCCAGCACGCCAACCCAGTCTCACAGCCTTGTGGTTTGTGCTAATGCTTCAGCAGTGGAAACTCACCAGGCACACCAGAAAAAAAATGCTGCACTTCCCATCAAAATGCAGTCATTCAACAGTAGGTATTTTTCTTTAAAGAGATGCAGCTGTCAGCAAAAGCTCACCATAGAGAACAAGGCTCCTGCTCTCCATATCAATCATTTCCGTAGCTAACGGAGTTCATTATGGGCTCTTCTAACAACGTGGCTCGTAGCAATGATAAATGATTAACCAGGGGGGCAACGCTTGCTTGCCTTTTTTTTTTTTTGAAGGTGTTGTTAGTCTCATTCGACAGAGCCCCCTCTAGGCAGCCAGAGCGAGGGACTGAATCGCCCTTCCCGAGCGCGCCGGCGGGACGCAGCCGGGGAAGCAGCTCTTACCTTGATATGTGCTTTGGCTTTGTTGAGCAGCCCAAGCGTGGTGTGCCGGGTGCAGTCTGGTCCTAGCGGTATCAGAACTTTTAAGCGTTCTAGACACAGGCGGAGGTGAGCTCGGCTGCAAGGGGAGAAGAGGAGGATCAGAGCTGTGCTTTCAGAAAGGGAATGTCATTTCCTTCTCTACTTCCCTCCTATAAGGCAGTTTTCACGTTTCCCTCTTCCCACACACCACGAAATTGGTGTACCACAGGTACTACTGAACTATTTATACTGCAAACATCATCTGCTCACCAATACTTGCATTATCGCTAACCTCTGACAGGCACCGTTTGTTTTCTTGCTGTCTGAACTGATAATCTGACTCATCTGGATGAACTTTGTGCAGGGGTAAGGCACACAGGCAAACGGTACAAGTATCTCGTGGGTTTCCTCTCTCTCTTGCTGTCTGTTTTGCTGAGAACAACTTTTGTGAAAGCAGTTTCGCGTGACCGCGACCCTCTGCACGCTTGTGCTCCGCTGGCCTGGGGACAATTGCTGTGAGCTGACCCAAGCACCATCTTTTTGCACACAATTAAAATGACCGAGAAAAACGGTCAGCCCAGAACACCTCAACAACCCCTGCTGGCAGCTAAGGGAGCTTGAGGGATGGCAGTTCCAAAGAACTGCTCTCTCACTCCTTCCTGGGCCCAGGTCTGAAATGCTGCTGGGGGCTGCAGGGTCTGTGGGAACAAGAGAACCCAAGACCTTCCCCTGGGCAGTCGTCTGACCTTGGCTCACGTCTACAAAGACAGGCTCAAGCACGACAGTGTCGCTGATGACACAAGCCATTTTCTGCAGAGTATGGAAACTGGGGAAAACGGTTCAGGCAGCAGTGGCAAAGCACACCATCCTTGGGCTGCACAGCAAAACGGCTCCAGCTGCCTCATCCTCTGTATCACTTACGCAGGAGCGAACAGCAGATTTATGGAAAACTATCAAGTGTGGGTTGCCTTTTTCCCCTCCCTCTCTCTTTCCCAGACATTAATGATTTATGTCCAAACTTGTCATCCCAATCAATAACACAATGACATCAGCTCCACCATTCACATGCAAGGAACACCGGTGCAAAAGAGTCCTGAAAGCCAATCCTGAGCCCCTGCTCATGCACAAAGAAACCAAATCTTAGCCTGATCCATCTCAATGCTGGGGGAAAAAAAAAAAAAAAGAAAAAAAAGAAAAAAGAAGAGCATAGACAGTTCATTTCCATTTGTTTTTCAAATTCACTCTTGCGCCTTGTTTGAAAGGGGTGGGGGAGAGAAGTCTGTAATCAGGCAATTATGTCAGTGACAAGCAAGGATGATTAAGGGTGGAAGGGTCAGGGGTTTTGCTGATGAACTGTCAGTGCAGGGGAGTGTTCACCAGCAGTGCTGTAGCTGTGAGCTCCTCACCATTGCTACTATAAATCTCTCTACGAAGGGCCCGTCACTCTGTCTCAAGAACAGCCACAGGGCTGCATGTGACCAGCACGGCCCTTGAAGAACACATGTTTTCACTAAATATTAGCAACTAGAGGGGTGGGGAAAGGGAAATCATAATCAAAAAAACAAACTGAAAAAAAACCAAACCAACAATCACATCACTCATCTTTTACTTCTCAGCTTGCTCTAGGGCTAATCCCACTGACTTTATGGGTTGTATGGCTGAGACTGGGGAATTTTTTTCTACCTAGAAGCCCACTTTCAACATAGAGCTTGATCAACAGTTGTGTACACCCCTCTGCAGGTGTTTGCCCAGTGTCCCATGATGACCTCTGTGGCCAGCAATGAAAAAGCACTGCTCGTTCACACCGCACTATCGCTCACAGCATCCCACAGGAGACTGGACACTGACTTCTTGTAGCCAGAGAAAGGAAGAGGAAGCTGATCTTGTGGTTAAAGACATTCAGGGTTGTGAATCAGAATGTCACAGAGGCAGGTCACCAAGTCAGAGCTGCCAAAGCACAGCCATCAAGCTGCAGCACAGAGCTGCACGTGTCTGTTCACAGCATGAGCCCCAGCCATGCACTTCACCTGCGGGATCAGATCAAGTTAAAAGAGCAGCTCGAGCAGAGCTCAAGATGTGCACACAGCCCGGGGAGCAGAGGAGCAGGGCTGGTTCCACCTGACAGGAGCCTGGCTACACAGCAGCTGATACAGGCAGGGACCCCAGACTGCCCCCCTGTCCTGCTGGGCAAGGGTGGCTCACAGCCCAGAGTGAAAACTGAATTATTTGTGCAACAGAAAACAAGAAGTTGTGGGAATCAGTATCTAACCAGTGTCAAACGTATCACAGTCCACTCCTGAATGCAGAGAGAAACAGACAACAAACACACGTACAGCCTGAGCTTTGGGCCAAGTCTCAGCTCTGGAGGTCCTACCAGGAACTGGGGAAGGTGCTGCACCAGGAAGTGCAACTGGAAGCAGCCACCAGCAGCAAGCACTGGCTGGATTGCTGAGATGGCGGTTAAAAGGGTGGCACGGATCTGCCATGTCAAAAGCTGGGTTATGTGCAGACTGCAGGAGATGAACTGTGTTAAGCACCTGAAAGCTATGCGCAAAGATCCAGCCACACAATAAAACCCTGCACACTGAAACACTTCCCATTGTGTCCCAGGACCTCCATGGATCGAAGGTTACTGTGCTCTGCATGCCCTGACACAGGTAGGGAGAGGACAAAGCACTCTGAGGGTCAGTCCTCATGAGGAGACTGGAAAAACTGACAGTTACTTCCCCATCACGCATGGCCCCAGAGGGGACACTGTCCCAGTTCTGGATCCCCACGTTGGCTCTGGAAGCCCATAAGACTGGCCCGAGCTCACAGAGATGGCCATTATGACACTGCTGCAAACCTACCTGCGGCTGCATCTCCAGCCAGCGCCCAGCCTCGGGCAGGGCACAAGGGCCAGCAGCAGGCAGCAGTGGGCCAGCCTCGGTGCCAGGCTGGAGCAGAGTGGGACAGCCAGCCCTTCAGCCCCACTGGTCACCTCCCGCTGCTGGGGACAACACCCCCTGGTGCAGCTGGGACAGCCAAGAGCAACCAAGCCCACAAACTGCTCCAGCACATGAGTGTGTTGCTTTCCTTCAGAGATCAAATTAGCTTCCCCAGCTCTCTTCCCCATCCAATACTTTGCCTTCTAATTCTTAATATCTAACCTGGTCACAGTCCCCAACCTCTCTCAACTGCCAACAGCCCAGGTGGACCATGGTGGATTCTTAAACCACAGAGCAGGCAGTCAGGTCTGACACATTGATAGGTGGCTTCAGTAAAACCCAGAAATAAACCTCCAGAGCTCAAGAACATCAGGGCAAACTGAGCTAAGAGGCCATCTCAGAGAGACCGCTCTGCCCTGTCAAGGCCTGGAGCTGCAGCTGGACAGCTGTGTCCTGCAGGCCAGGCCCCAGTACAAACGTCTGCTCCCCTGGTCTACCTGGGCCCCGCTGCAGCGTGGCTTGGACCGTGCTGCAGGCTCCTGCCCTCAGTGGGAACACCAGCACTGTGCAGGCTCCAGACGGAGCCAGACGGCGGTCCATGTACACCACTGGATTATGCCAATATTTGACGCATCTGCCAATATCTGGAAAAACAACTCTAAATGCCCATATTGTTACATAACACAGAAGCAACTCTGGCTTGACGTGAAGGGCTGCTGCCTCCCATCGGTTTCATCCCAGGGAAGGCAGAGGATGACAGAAGGAGAATTCCAGTTTTAGCCAAGGCTGAAGCCTTTGCACGCTAGCTGCAGGGGAGATGGGAGAAGCTGGAGCCCTTGCTCCTGCCTACATAGCAGCCTTGGAACAATATCAGGATCTCACAGCAGCATCCGGAGCACATGGTAGGTGCTGGATGTGCTGAAGAAGAAACCCATGGAGAATTTGAAAGGAGGTGCCCCTCCTCTTTCTCAGGAGAGCAGCCTAGTGCCCCCCTCCTGCTCAGCCTGATGAGGGAGAAGACTCCCATTTGAGATTCACATGTGGGGCATCAGAGTGGCCGGAAACAAGCAAAGCACCTGAGAGGCTTCAGAAAACCAGAACCTAACACACACCTCTCTGTCCCAGCAAGCCGAGTATAACCTCCTATCTCATTCCACCCAGCAACTTTGGTTAGGAGAGAGGCCCTCTGCCACTTCTGCTTCCTCCCCTCTGCAGGGTCAGGAGAAGCCTAGAAGCAAGTTCTCTTCTGGGATGTGGAGACAAGTCAAGTGAGGATGCCCTCTCTTCTGTCAGGTGCTGCTGTGGGAAAAGGCAGGCCAGCTCCTAAATAGACAGACCAGGAGACTGAAGCAGAAGAGGGATGAGCAAGCCCAGCAGCCCCACAGCAAGCTATAGGTGGCTGCACGTGGATAGAAGGGGTGCTGGCCCCTGAAATGGCAGCCCTGCTGCTGCCCACAGGGCACATGCTGTTCTCTCCCTTTCCCTTTATACCTGTGCAAGAGCTTCTGACTGTATTTGGAAGATCTACTTCTCCCCTCTGGGTTATCTCCAAGGCTGAGCCCCTGGCCCTGTGTCCAGAGCCCCCCTCCAGAGGGGAGCCTGGCCCTGCTCTGGGTAGCCCCTCCTTGCACTGGGCTCTGCCTGGCTGCAGAGAGCTGCAGTTCCACAGCCTGCTCTCCTCCCGGCTCCCAATGACATCATCCCCTCTGATTATATAAGGCATGGGGAGGAAGCCTCTATTTATTCCTGCTTTTTGCTCATAGCTTCAGCTGTCTCACTGAACAACACGCACCCAAATTCCACTGCAGGAACTGAGCTCCCTTTTGCTTGGATCAAAACTGCAGTGCAGAAAAAGGTGCGGGTGCAAAAACAATTCCCCGTTTACCCTTCTCTCACTCCTCTGAGGACGTTTTGGAGGGGTTTGGGTAGCAATCAACCTACCCCACCATCCTGCACCACAGCAAGCTGGGCACAAAGCCACCAGACTCTTCCCTGCCGGGAAGACCCCAGAGAACTGTGGGACCTGTGATGGCAGCTCCAAGACTTGTGTCTGCTGGCCACAAAGCATCTACAAAGGAGCTAGGAACCTGCCTGCCTTCAGGGCCCAAGGGGACCTCTGCAAGGACGCCATTTCCCACCCCGGGCTCGGCCAACCCCCCGTGCACCCTCT